ATTTAGCACCTAATTATCAATTTTCTGTTGGATTCCCTAAGTGTTATGCATTTTGAAGTGCCATGCATAATAGATGGCGCTTTCTTCCACACAGGCAGCGGGAAGGTTTTCCCCAGCTCCTTTTCCCATTGTAGCATATAGGCTAATTTCCTGTTAGAATGCAGTTGTAATAAGGACTGATAACATGTAGATAATGGTCAAATGATTGCAGGCGTCCCTTGCACAGATAGCTAACGAGGGTAGCTGCATGGTCCATGGGAGACTTGATCCCTTGAACCTGGAGGACGTTCTTCACTCTAAAATACAGGAAGAGATCTTTGGCAGGTAATGTAAAACTGGAACAAAGGTCTGTGGATGGTTTTGGCAGAGGAAAACTAGTCAATGCTATATGCTGTATATTATTGCAGGGTTGCAGAGTGCAGTTAATGCGATATGCTGTATATTATTGCAGAGTTGCAGAGTGCAGTTAATGCGATATGCTGTATATTATTGCAGGGTTGAAGAATGCAGTACATTCGATATGCTGTATATTATTGCAGGGTTGCAAAGTGCAGTTCATACGATATGCTGTATATTATTGCTGGGTTGCGGAGTGCAGCTCATACAATATGCTGTATACAGGCATCCCCTGTAGCATCTTCCAGCCACACAACATCCAGGCATCCCCTACAGCATTCAGCCACATCGGATCGAGTAAATGTATATTCAAACAGTAACATATACTGTGGGACTTAGTAGCACAAGAAGCATGCACATTAGCGATTTTATCTCTGTTCTGTGTGTTTAAATATGTAAATAGGTATATCTATATACTCCTTTGTATTTTGTAATTTGTTGTTCCTTTGATATTTGATTTTGCCTCTTTTGGTTGCTACATTTAAGTGTATAAGTATACGCTGTGTAAGTGTGCAATAGCATAACTACAAAGTATAGGATTGCAAAGCACTTATTATTGAAGCACCTATATTGAATGTGCCAATCTGTAAATCTGAGTGTGGTATCATAAGTATAATTACTGCTGTATAATTACTGCCGGGTTGCAGAGTGCACTTCATGCTATACTGTGTATATTGTTGCAGAGTGCAATTCATGCTATATTATTTATATTATTACAGAGTGAAGTTAATGCTGTATTGTGCATATTACTGCAGTACATGCTATATTGTGTATATTGGTGCAGAGTACAGTTCATGCTATATTCTGTATATTATTACAGAGTGCAGTAAATGCAATATTGTGCATATTAGTGCAGTTCATGCTATACTGTGTATAGTGCAGAGTACAGTTCATGCTATACTGTGTATAGTGCAGAGTACAGTTCATGCTATATTCTGTATATTATTGCAAGGTTGCAGAGTACAGTTCATGCTGCATTGTGTATATTATTGCATTGTGCAGGTCATGCTTGTTAAGACCTGCAGTGGTTATGGTACTGCAGTCTTCTATTCCTTTCCCAATAGCTGAGCATAAGTGATTATAACTGCAGTTAGGATGTAGACGAATAGTGTAGATGAATGCAGCTTCTAAGACGATTCTCCCCAGCAAGTAGAATATTCCCCAAGCATGAGCCTAGACTTCATGAAGGGTGTAACAGGAATAACTTTTATTGATGCCACACTGCCTTTTATGAGAATCCTACTGCAAGAGGACCTCTCACAGTATACAAAGACAATAACCAATCAGCATACAGATTTACAGTAACACCCTCCCTCTCTCTGCTTGGCAGATATTGAGATAAGTTAAGGAATAACCCAATTATCTCCAGGCAGAGAACACACAATTTTCCCAAAAATTAGAACACCCCTTTATACAACAGGTATCCCCACAAATTACATATCCCCTGATAGCCCCGATCTGGGGGACCAACATATTCAAATTTCACCCAGATCGGTTCAGGGGTTCTCAAAAAGTATGGAAGTCATTAGTAACCAACCACACACAAGGCTCCTGCCCAAAACAGTTCCACGAGTTCAGCGTGTGCGGTCGGTCAATTCAGAAAATTGCATAAAAGTCTCGAATGGAGCCTCCTGGCTCATAGGAGCGATTGCTCCCCTTGTTCGTATGAACCAAACTACCGAATGGCGCTCTCCTGGCTTTTTGGCAACTAAAGGAAGCAGGTGTTCGTGTGTTTTACCAGTGGTTCGGGAAGTCAAGTGTCCGATTTTAGTTCCAGACACTCGACGACCAAGTCCTGCTGCCTCCTTTCGTGAAAACAAGATGGCCGCCATTTTCTGTTCCACGTGGCATTCGGCTATACGAACGGCGGCCACCCAGAGAGCGTTTAAACTTTGAAGTTAATGAGCCAGGAGGGTGGTTGGTGTTCGGTAGTTTTAAAACTGCTAAACCAATAAATCCAAAACACACGAAATGTTGTAGAAAAGCACAAACACAGAAGAAAATGCCAAAACCCAGTCTATTTTCTTCACAATACTCCCCCTTAGTTCCATGGGTCGACATACTCGCCTAGACCCTGCCGGGTTGGCTTGAGGATGTCCGGGTAACATAGTTATAAATTCAAGTCGGTTTGGCGGGAAAGACCATCCGCATTGCCATTCTGCTTGCCCGGGCGGTATTGCAATGTAAAATTGTAGCGCTGCAACGCTAGGCTCCAGCGAAGCAACCGGGGATTGTCCCCAGAGACTCGGTTGAGCCAAATGAGGGGGTTGTGGTCAGTTAGTAGTGTGTGTGGAACTGTGTGTGGGTGCTTGCTGAACCGGAATCAAACACCAGATTTTAAAAAATTAATAAAGTAATAGAGGTCCAGGCACTCCTTGGTTCAAAACAGGTACTTTATTAGGAACCACAACAGCAACGTTTCGACCCCAATTGGCCGGTCCCAATTGCCTCTGCTCCGCTGTGGGCAATGTATTTTATAGTGCCCTGGCTGATTACATTGGTGACATACCAATGGTGGTCTCCGGTTGAGGTTAGGCTGTGTCGTGGGTGGTAAAGAGTTCGGTCTGGGGGTAGTCACAGGCCCTGGCGCTGGAGCTCACCAGATGCCGGTTTCCACTAGCCTCTCCTTTTCTTCCCTTGTGATGCTCATCCGCCAGCTTGGCCACTTCCTCAACTGTGGCTTTCTTCCTATCTCGGACCCAGTCCCTGGTGTCTGCAGGTGTATGATCAAAGAATTGTTAGAGCAAGAGGAGTTGCAGAACCTCCTCCAGCGTCGTGGATTGACAGCCTTGTATCCAGTTTTGGGCTGCCCGATAAATCCTAAAGGTCCATTCGCTATAGGAGTCTCGGCCCCCTTTACGTAATGCCCGAAACTTTTTCCTGTAAGTCTCTGGGGTCACGGCATACCTGGCTAGCAGAATGTTCTTTACCCTGGCATAGTTGTGTATGGCTGTATCAGGAACTGCTCAGTACGCCTCCGCTGCTCGGCCAGTGAGCTTGCTGCTTAAAATCGCGGCCCGTTGCTCCGATTCCAGACCCTCCAAAGCGCACTGACGCTCAAAGTCCTGTAGGTATGGGTCAATTTCCATTTCTCCATCTGAAAAACTTTTAAAAGCAGCATAATTAATCTTTCTCCGCTGCCCTCCATTAATAAATCCAGATAAGTAAGCGGTGTCTCCTTGGTTTAGGCTTGCCTGTTGTGCTCTGCGTTCTGGGTTCACCTGAGCCAGGACTTGCGTCACCATCTCTGTTGTAGGATTTGGCCCGTATAGGTTTAACCTCCATATCACCTTCTGTTGAAACTCTGCTTCCTCCTGGCTGACATTCGCCATGCTGCTGGTTTGGTCGTCCTCCATCAGTTCTGCTATGAGGGTAGCTCTCTTTTTGTTGCTTGCCACCTGACCTCGGGGTTCCAGCAGATCTTTCAGTGTCGTCCTTTTTAGTCTCTCATACTGCTGGGCCATTCACCAGTTGTCTTTATGCGTCCCATTCAATCGCTTGCCACCAGTTGTTAAGACCTGCAGTGGTTATGGTACTGCGGTCTTCTATTCCTTTTCGAATAGCTGAGCATAAGTGATTATAAGTGCAGTTAGGATGAAGAGGAATAGTGTAGTGAATTCAGCTTCTCAGACGATTCTCCCAAGCAAGTAGAATATTCCCCAAGCATGAGCCTAGATTTCATGAAGGGTGTAACTTTTATTGATGCCACACTGGCTTTTATGAGAATCCTCCTGCAAGAGGACCTCCCACAGTAAACAAAGACAATAACCAATCAGCATACAGATTTACATTAACACCCTTACTCTCTCTGCCTGGGAGAAATTGAGATAAGTTAAGGAATAACCCAATTATCTCTAGGCAGAGGACACACAATTATCCCAAAAATTAGAACACCCCTTTATACAACAGGTATCCCCACAAATTACATATCCCCTTATAGCCCCGATCTGGGGGACCAACATATTCAAATTTCACCCAGATCAGTTCAGGGGTTCTCAAAAAGTATGGATGTCATAAGTTACCAACCACACACGAGGCTCCTGCCCAAAACAGTTCCACGAATTCAGCGTGTGCGGTCGGTCAATTCAGAAAATGGCATAAAAACGAATAAAGTCCCGAATGGAGCCTCCTGGCTCATAGTAACGATTGCTCCCCTTGTTCGTATGAACCAAACTACCGAATGGCGCTCTCCTGGCTGTTCTGCAACTAAAGGAAGCAGGCGTTCGTATGTTTTAGCGGTGGTTCAGGAAGTCGAGTGTCCGATTTTAGTTCCAGACACTCGATGATCAATTCCCGCTGCCTCCTTTCGTGCAAACAAGATGGCCGCCATTTTCTGTTCCATGTGGCATTCGGCTATACGAACGGCGGCCGCCCAGAGAGCGCTTGATAGACAGTTCTCTTTGAAGTTAATGAGCCAGGAGGGTGATTGGTGTTCAGTAGTTTTAAACTGCCGAACCAATAAATCCAAAACACACTGTAAGGAAACCAAGTACATTTAAACCTTAATCGGTAGTTTCCTCCCGAACAGCCAGAGCCCAGTGAATATAGCCCTCTGTTCGGTAGTTATAGTAGACGAATTCCCAATTGTAAATCCAATAGTGTTCCTGGATAATTCCCACAGTAAAACACACGAACTCCCAAACAGCATACGTAGTCAGAATAAGGGTACAAAGATGAACTGTTTATTGGCACACAAAGAACCTTCTTTTATGCAGGTCCCCATGCAAGGGGACATCCCACAGGGTGGGACACAGTACAACCAATCACACAATGGTTACATCCCACACATCTCCTCCCCTTAGCCTGAGAGGTAACCCAATTATCCATACATTTTAAAACACACTTTTTACCCAACTTTCATAACTCCAAAACCATACATCCAATATTAATAAAAGTAACATATTATTAATCAGCACATCCCAAATACAAACATACCCACAAATCATGAAAATCCTTCCATTAGTTCAAAAGTTAGTTAGAAGTCCTTTGTGACCCAAAGGAAGCATGGCTTTTCTGCCCAAACCAGTTCCCACTGGTCTGGCAGTGTCCCTGGGACAACTCCCTGCTTGAGAACAATAGACAGGAAACGGGGGAGGGGAAGAAACACACCTTCCCATGGATTCCAATGGGGAAGAAACTGTCCTTAGAAGCCAATAAGCCCCAAAGTTTGGATTTATAAAGGGGTGACAGGGTGGTCTGCATTCGGTAGTTTTACCTACCGAATGCCATAGGGAAACATTGCTATTGACACAAATACAAAGAGGGCATATACAGAATAAAAAAGGCATTTCTTCACACTGCTCCCCTATAAGTCCATAGGTCGGCATACCCGCCAAGACCCTGACGGGTTGGCTTGGGGATGTCCGAGGGGCAACAACGAAACAGTCCAGGTTAAGTATCCAATTCCGTTTGGCGGGACAAACCGTCTGCATTACCATTTTGTTTGCCCGGACGATATTGCATGGTGAAGTTGTACAGTTGAAGGGCTAGGCTCCACCGTAAAAGTCTAGGGTTGTCGCCAGCCACCCGGTTTAACCACACTAACGGGTTGTGGTCGGTCATCAGAGTAAACGGCCGGCCGTACAAATAAGGTTGGAGTTTCTTAAGGGCCCACACCAGGGCTAGGCACTCCTTCTCCACGGTGGCATAGTTGACTTCCCGGGGCAACAGTTTACAACTTAGATAGGCCACCGGGTGTTCCATGCCGTCGTCTCCCACCTGGCTTAACACGGCTCCCAGCCCAAACATGGAGGCATCTGTGTGGACAAGAAATAGTTTAGAGTAGTCTGGTGCTGCCAACACAGGAGCCTCACTCAATGCGGTTTTCAGTTTCTGGAAGGCTGCCGCGCACTCTGGGGTCCAGGTAACCTGTTTGGAAAGGGCCTTTTTGGTGAGATCAGTGAGGGGTTTGGCCAGGGCGCTATAGTCGGGGACAAATTTCCGGTAATAACCGGCTGTTCCTAAGAAGGCTAAGACCTGGGTCTTAGTCCGAGGTTGGGGCCAATTCGCTATGGCCTCTATTTTGGCAGGCTCAGGCCGCTGTTTACCTGACCCTACCCTGTGGCCGAGGTACTGTACCTCCGCCATACCCACGTGACATTTGTCTGGTTTCAACGTAAGCCCTGCTTGGTGAATTCTCTCGAGCACCCTGGACACGTGGCCTAGGTGGTCTCCCCATGTGCGGCTGTAGACAGTGATATCATCTAAATACGCACATGCGAAGTCCTGGAGTCCCTCCAGGAGCCTGTCAGCCATCCGCTGAAACGTAGCCGGGGCATTCTTCATCCCAAAGGGCATAACCTTGAATTGGTAAAGCCCAAAAGGAGTGACGAATGCCGACTTGGGGATGGCGGCAGACTCCAGGGGGATCTGCCAGTACCCTTTGCACAAATCCAGAGTGGTCAAGTAATTACCTCCGGCCATACGGTCCAGTAACTCATCTATTCTGGGCATGGGGTAGGCGTCTGTTATGGTGCGGTCGTTGAGCCTCCGGTAGTCTACACAGAAGCGTGTGGTGCCGTCACGCTTCGGTACTAGTACTACCGGAGAGGCCCAAGGGCTTTGAGAGGGTTCTATTACCCCTAACTTGAGCATGTCGGCAAGTTCTGCCTGCATGCTCTCACGCACGGCCTCGGGAATGCGGTATGGCGGCTGCCGTAGGGGCGTCTCTCCCTGGGTATCTACCCGGTGTACCTCAGCGGAGGTATAGCCTGGGATGGCAGAAAACATGCCCTGGTATTCCCGGAGTAAGCCGGCCGCTTCCTGTCGCTCTTTAGGTTGTAGGTTCTGACCAAGACTGACCTGGTCAATACTGCAGGGAGAGGAGTCTAACAGATCGGGGAGTGGGAGTCCCTCGCTATCTTCGGAAGAGGGGGCGCATACAGCGCCGACATCTTCCGTCCGTTCGTAGTAAGGCTTCAGCATGTTTACATGGAAGACTTTGGTCAGTCTCTCATCCGAACATTTGCTTACAATGTAGGTGGTATCGCTCATTCGCTCCACCACCTTGAAGGGTCCCTGCCAGGCCGCCTGGAGCTTATCCCTTTTGGCGGGTCTCAAAGCTAATACTTTTTGGCCCAAGTCTAGGACTCTGTCCCGGGCACCCCTGTCGTAGCACCTCTTTTGGCAGTCATGGGCCGCCTGCAGGTTCTCCCGAACTGATTCGGTGAGAGTTCGCAGCCGGTCGCAGAACGCCAATACGTATTGGACTATAGGGATCCCCCCATCATCCATGTTGCCCTCCCAGTGCTCCCGTACGAGATCCAGGGGGCCCCGAACTTTTCTCCCGAACAGGAGTTCGAAGGGGGAAAACCTCGTGGATACCTGGGGCACCTCACGATAGGCAAACAGAAGATGGGGAAGATACCTCTCCCAGTTCCTGCAGGACTCTGCGAACGTTTTTAGCATTTGCTTGAGCGTGCCGTTAAAACGTTCACAGAGACCGTTGGTCTGGGGGTGATATGGGGCGCTAAAGAGGGCTTTCACTCCACAGCTCTGCCACAGCTGTTGTGTCAGGAGAGCTGTGAACTGAGTCCCTCTGTCGGATAGGATCTCCTGGGGGAAACCTACCCGGGAGAATACTTTGACCAGGGCCTCAGCTACCGTTTCGGCCTCTATATTGGGAAGGGCTACGGCTTCGGGGTACCGAGTGGCATAGTCCACTACGGTGAGTATGAACCTTTTACCAGACTGACTGGGCCGACTGAGGGGTCCTATTAAATCTACCGCTACCCGGTGGAACGGCTCTTCTATGATGGGTAACGGGTGGAGCTTTGCTTTTTGGTGGTCACCCCGTTTCCCTATTTTCTGGCAAACGTCACAGGTCCTGTAATAGTATTTGAGGTCTTGAGTGATCCTGGGCCAGAAGAAAGTTTGGGTCAGGCGGTCCCTAGTCTTCTTAACCCCTAAATGTCCGGCTAGGGGAATATCATGGCTGAGTCTTAGTAACTCAGCCCGAAACTTGCGGGGCACTACTAGTTGTCTTTTAGTAGCCTGGGCGGTTCCGTGTCCCGCCCCATCTGTCACCCTATACAACAGTCCCTTATGCCATTCAAACTTTTCGTTGGGGTTGTCGCCCCTATTGTCCCCTACTGCTTTTCTATACCCGGCTAGAGTGGGGTCAGTCCTTTGTTCCTGCTCAAACCCCTGGGGAGTATCCCAGAACGAGGGAGGGGGGTCGGGTAAAGGGGGGATGTCAACTCCTACCTGGGTTTCCTCAGAGTGCAGCGGTGCTTCCAGTCTGGCTTGAGCTCGGGTGGTAACCTGATACGCCTCAGCTGTGGTGTCTCGGGCTAACTGGGAAGTTAAACAGCCCACATCATTCCCCAACAGTGCTTCGGCTGGTAGCTCCTGCATAATGCCAACCTCTAGTTGTTTAGATCCCGAGCCCCAATCCACAAGAACTTTAGCCGTGGGTAATTTGTGGATGGCACCCCCGGCGACCCTTACTGCCACAGTGCGGCCCGTGTGAGTTTGAGCCTTGACAGTGTGCGGTTGAACCACAGTTAACGTGGCCCCAGAGTCTCTTAAGGCGCGGGCCCCCACAGCGTCTACCGTAATCCATTGACGGTGGTGGTCCCGGTTGTCACAGGGTTGACTTCGTGCAACACACTCCATTGTTCCTCGTGGGGAGGTACCCATGATGTACTCTCCTGCTGTACACAATGAGCAGCGGCCCTGGGTTGTGACTGTGGAGGTTGCCTTTCCCAGCTTCCCCGGTTTAAACGTGGGCACTGATTTTTAAAGTCTCCTGGTTGTTTGCAGTAGTGACACACTGCAGGTTGTCGGGGTGCTGCTGCTGGGTTGTGGGGCGAATTACTCAGGGGGGCTCTAGGTGGTGCAGCCGTGGTTGTTTAAACGCAGGTCGGCTCACCCCTTGTTCTCGCCTCCGGTTATCCTGGTATTCATCTGCCAGTCTTGCTGCCTCCTCCACAGTTTTAGGCTTCCTGTCTTTAACCCAGTCCTTGATATCCTCTGCGGTATGGTTAAAAAATTGTTCTAATAGGAGGAGTTGTAACGCATCCTCCAGAGTGGTTGCTTGGCAGCCCTTCATCCAATTTCGGGCTGCCCTGTGTAGCCGGAATGCCCATTCAGTATGGGTATCCCTCCCTGTTTTCCTCAGTTCCCTGAATTTCTTTCTGTATGCCTCAGGGGTAACTGCATATCTAGCCAACAAAATGTCTTTTATCTTTCCATAATTATGAATATCTTCATCAGGTACTGCTCGTGCTGCTTCTGATGCTCTGCCTGACAACTTGCTGTTCAGTACTGCAGCCCATTTGGTGGAGTCTAATCCCTCCAGTGCACATTGCCTTTCAAAGTCTTGCAGATAACTATCAATCTCCATTTCATTGTCATTAAAGTTTTTAAATGCAGCATAATTTACCTTTTTCGGCATGTCATTTGTACTTCCCGGGGAGTGTAGAAAATCCCCCCGTAGTAGTCTGTCATCTCGCTCCTTCTGTGATTGCCTGGCTTGTGCCATGACCTGCAGCATTGCCTCTGTTGCTGGATTAGGTCCCAATAAACTGAGCATCCATCTGATGTCCTTCTGCATCACCGTTTCTTCCTCAGGTTCCATTTCTGTAGTGCTGGTTCTGTCGCCCTGTAACAGCTCTGCAATTAACGTGGCTTTTGTTTTGTTGCTTGCTATTACGCCTCGAGCTTCCAGCAAATCTTTAAGCGTGGTTCTTTTAAGCTGTTGGTACTGCTGAGCCATTCATTCCTTTGCTTGCTTTAAAACGTCCGTTCGGGATTCGAATCCCGCCGCTTGCCACCAGTTGTAAGGAAACCAAGTACATTTAAACCTTAATCGGTAGTTTCCTCCCGAACAGCCAGAGCCCAGTGAATATAGCCCTCTGTTCAGTAGTTATAGTAGACGAATTCCCAATT